ATGACGGGAACTGTTGTGAAACTTAGAAGAGGTATCTAGGCACCCCGGGGTGTTGGTTTAGAGTAGGGTTGTTTTGTTCAATTACTTGGTTAGTTGAAATAATTGAAAACGTTAAGTGTGAAAAACACTTATTTTGTTTATTTGATTATTTTTGTGATATTAATTGATTTAATCATAATTTTGATTAAATGATAATTTTAGTGACAATAAAAGATAAACATTATGTTTTCAGGATATTTTGGATGAAAAGGCTTAATAATTCTACTGTCAGGAACATACAGATGAATTATAAAACATCTTGTTATTTGTGACCTACACGAACTTGTAAAAAATTTATTTGTTGACAAGACTAACTTTCTTTTTATTGAAACAGGTTGAATTTGGAGTTTTGAACATGGGTTGCTCCATAAAAATATCAGTTTTGAGGGGGTGCAGTATTATTACAGTCATATAATTTAACCATTTAAGAATCAAGCAGAATGAAAAAAAAAACTAGTAGGTAAACCAGGCCTAGCCAGTTACAAATTAAGTACTCCAAACACTTCTTACTGGAGCTCTGAACTGGGATTTTTCCTATCAAATCCAAGTGTCAAGTGACTGTCACCAATTTATGGATTGTGTTTGCCCATTTATGCACATCAAAGTTGGGAACATATTTCATCACTTCTTAATGGATACCCACTGTAGATCAGTTAAGAATTTTCAGTACTACATTATCACATCTTATGATGTCTACTCATACCTTGAAAGCTACTTCATAAGGTCAGTATTAGTTTGTTTAAAAATCAGGTATTATGGATAAAGTTACAATATATTTTTGTATTATTCTTCAACTGGACACTTATTCTTAGCCAAAATGGAATAAAAATTAACCTTCTTTGCTGGTGGTATATCTTTTCAGTGATTTTTGACATTTGGAAAGCTTGTTCTCTGTGCAGAAGAGGATTTCATGATCAGAGTTTATTAATATGTGATGTTCTTGGCTTTATATGTTGACCCTCTTTGCTTATTTCACTTTATTTGGCAGTATCTTTCAGATTCTATTTATTTACCCTTAACTGTAATTTTTCCATTCTTGCTATTGATGTAACTTAGCTGTTATTTTTTGCTTGCTCTTTATCACCAGGACAGAACTTTGGCATCAAAGTTCACTCTTCCACTGGTGATTCTGTCTTGTTTCTCTTCTTTTGTAATACCTTTTCTGCCAAGAGAGAGTTCACTCAAATCTGAGTTGTTTATTGTGCCAATGCAACTGTACAAAGGTATATTGGCTTTCTAGGTATCTGTAGTATAGAGTTTCTTGGCATGTATAGTTATAAAAATCTTGCTATCCTCAATAAGTCAAGCCATTTCTTTGCCTGTGACAACTTAATTCCTAGTGGAACTCTTTTTGTGAGCATATTTATAGAAGATGCTTTATGCCTTTACCTCATCATTTATAAATTTTAGTAGATTTTGTCTATTACTTGCTGTTGCTCAGAATACCATTCTTTAATAATAGAAATACTTGTTTGTCTTTTTAAGACAATCTGTGTCTTATGATTTGAATTTCTGCTTTAAATTATAGTTTCTACCAAGGGAAAAACTGTACTTGGTACCAATTTCCTTGAGTTTTGGATACCTTGGTACATCTGAAACAGGGCTCCCAGGGGTTAAGAAAATTTCAAGGAATTTTAGGTTTTTTTCAAGATCAGGGAAATTTGGGATTTTAGCAAAATCACAGGATCAGTGTTTTGAAATATGCTGTAAAATACATTAAAGCAGTATTCTTCACCTTTGGTTTAGTTCTTATGTGTCTTTCAACACTTGGTATTTTCAATGACTTATCTTGATATAACAATTCCAAAATGTATATTGAGAAGAAACTGAAAAGGATTTACATGTCTTGTCTCCTGAGTGACTTTCTTTTCAGCTTACTGCAGTAGAATGACAGATATGTTGCTTTATAATATTATTAACCATAGAATAATGTGTTATTTTAAATTTTTAACATCAACCACAAAACCAACATCATAGATCTTCATAGAAATTGACTTCTCCTACTTTTCTTCCATGAAATACAAACACTAAACTGCTGCCCACTTACCTTATTTAATCTCAATTTTAGGTAGGTGTTTATGTACTGATGTATTGACCTTTTTAAGAATTAAATTTTTTTTTCAGGGCAAATAACAATCAGAATAGTGGATACCTATTGATTTTATAACTGAGAAAATACTAAAAAATTAGTAGCAATAAAAAAAAGTTCAATACAGACTGGTTGAGTGACTCTGAATTTTCCTCATGATTAGGAAAGAGCTCAGCTTCAGACCTAAGTGCATGGTGTATGTTCTGTGGGAGGTATTTTGAACTGGGAAATATAGGGGGAAAAATGACATTTATGAGTTATGCACAAAGAAAAAATCATAATATCAAGGTATAGCAAAGTGCTAGAGCTAAACAAAAAGTTTGTCCTTTGACTGTTTTCTTGAATAAGCCAGAGCTATCAACTAACCAAGGTGAGATGGAGGTTGAGAAAGATCAGTTTGTTCTACCAACACAACAGCAGTCAGGACAAGGGGTTACACCCATCTAAAGTTTTATATTAAGTGAGATGGTTTTGACAGCAGAAATTTCATGAGCAACAAAAAATACTCTGAGTTATTACTTCTGTAGTTCAAGTTTAAGGACTGACCAACTGTTTAAAACAATGTTTTCTGACAGCATTACAGCATAGAGATTTTCTTATGTTGCAACAAAATGCTCTTACCTGATTTGTTTTGGACTTGACATTTAACTCAAAGGTGATATAATGAGCAAAATTCAACAACCAGGTATTATTTTTGTTGTATCATTTAATAAGTCACAAAAGAAAGCTTTACAGAAGAGCAAATAGACTTGTTGCTGAGTTTCTAGGACAGAGAAAATAAGAGTTGTTTGTAAGCAGATATCTTGACTCAGTATTTCTTGAGCACACAAGATTTGAGGCTTTGCTTTGAAAATTTAAGATAGGACTTTCAAAACTCAATGTTCCAAACATTTTGCAAGTTTCAAAGGATGGGCCAAGTACCAACAAGAAATTATTTGGTGCAGAACTGAGAAGAATTTGACCGTGATATTCCAGAGCTTTTCAATTTGGGGTTCTCTGTATTACATGTTATACATAAAGCCTTGAAGTATGGAGATAGTAAGGCTAACAAAAATGTGGTGTGGTCCTTCTACTATTGTTTCTTTGAATCTCCTGCTTGATTAGAAGAATATCTAGCTGCCAGTGAGGAGAATGCACAACTTCCTTTGATATTTTGTAGCACCAGGTGGCAAGAAAATGTGCCTGTAGCTGAAAGGACAATCCAAATTTGTCCAAAGATCAAGAAGTACATGAAGCAAACTTAGAAACTGTCCAAAAATAAGAAGCCAACATGTTAGTCATTTGCAAACTATGCAGAGAACACACAAGATATTTTGATACCAGCAAAGTTGACTTTGTGTCAGTTGCCAAAGACTTGGTTTCCTTCTTACAAACGTTCCAAACAGAAAAGCCAAGGGTGCCATTTTTAGCTGAGGAACTTCAGAGTATCCTCCAAACAGTTCTTTCAAAATTCTTAGAGAAGTCAGTGCTTGATTCTGCTAGGAGTGTGGAGAGAGGAAAATGAGAGAAAGGAAAAACTGGAAATAGAGAGAGAAAGAATAA